GGACTTTAAATCTCTCAGGGCATAAGATAAGTTTTCCTTCTGTCTTTATTTATATTGTCCTTTTACAGATATACTCTATCTGAAGTGTATATATATATATATATATATATATATATATATATATATGATTTTATTTATTAATTTTTTTTTTATATATATATATATATATATATATATATATATATATATTATTTATTTATTAATTTTTTTTTTATATATATATATATATATATATATATATATATATTTTATTTATTAATTTTTTTTAATATATATATATATATATATATATATATATATTTATTTATTTTTTTTTATTATATTATTTTATATATATATATATATATATATATATATATATATTTTATTTTTAATTTTTTTTTTTTTATATATATATTTTATTAATTTTTTATATATATATATATATATATATATGATTTTATTTATTAATTTTTTTATATATATATATATATATATATATGATTTTATTTATTAATTTTTATATATATATATATATATATGATTTTATTTATTAATTTTTTTAATATATATATATATATATATATGATTTTATTTATTAATTTTTTTAATATATATATATATATATATGATTTTATTTTTTTATATATATTTTTTTTTATTTATTAATATATATATATATATATATATATATATATATATGATTTTATTTATTAATTTTTCCTCATTATGTGTCCCAGAGATTTGTAGCTTTTAGTAATATTTGTCTTTTCAGCACCCATCCCAGTTCTGCCACCAATTTACACACACTAGGTAAACTATTCACTGTTTTCCTCTTACCTTCAGTGTCCTCTGAGTGTTGAATTTTACAAGCCTTCTTTCCTCATATGTCCTAGAAATTTCATTTTAAGTATAGGTATCCTTTTTGTTATCATTTTCCTTCACACTTGTTTCTCATGTTCTCTGTCTATGGTATTCTCAGCATCCTTCTGTATAAGCAGATCTCTGTTGCTTCAAGTTTCCTCGTCATTGTCCAGCATATTTTTCAATTAATATACTTAAAAGCCAAGTCAATTAAATGGAATAGACAAGTTTTCAAACTGGCTTGCTTACTTTTTCTTAGGCTTGAACACTGACCTTCTATGTGCTGTGTCCTTTCAGGATATTGGCAATCATGGCTCTTCATAATTCCTTGTCCTTTGTAACTGTTAATATATTGTTCTTTGTTATCTTCCATAAACCTTGTTCTGTCATCCATTTACTCAAACTTGCTAGGTAGTTTGTGTTATTTTCCTCTTCCCTTCAGTCTGTCCTGTGAGCATCAAATTTTCCAAGCCCTTTTTCCTCATATGCTCTAGAAATTTCAAATGCCTCTTCATGAGGTTAAACACAAATGTCCTTTTTATTGCCATTGTCTCTAGAACCTTGTCATTGCTCACATGTTCGGTCCATGATATTCTCAGTATCCTTCTGTAGAACAACATTTCTGTCACCTCAAGTCTCTTCTTCATCTGTGAGGAGATTGTCCAGCATCCACTGCCATATTGGAGGACTGATATTATGTAACAGTTCAGTACTCTTTTTTTTCTTTTTTTTTCTATCAAAAATTTTGGTAACAAAAAGGAAATGCTTTATTTCTGCCATAAAGTCAGACTATTTTCATTACGGATAGAAGCTGTAAAGAGGAACAATCATTTTACTTATTTCATTATGAGAATTTACAAAGAGGAATGATCAATTAGCTTATCTTCATACACTGCTGGTGGCACCAGGGGTGGCGGTCCCATCATAGCCACTGAAACCATGATATCACCCCTGGTCAGCAGCTGATGAAGACAGGGTATCACACGTGCTAACACATGTTGTATGTTAAAAAAAAGATAAATGTATATTATTCAGTTAATGTTGATTTCATCCCATTGTTTGTTTACAAGAATATATGTCAAGTCCTGCATTAATTGACTATTCTGTAGATTCGTATTAAAGAAATGTTTTACATTTATACATAGGCCTGATGTTGGAGAAAAGTAGGTAAAAATTTTTTTAGGAAAAGTAAATGGCTAACAATTAAAGAAGGCACAAAAATGTAGAAAATGAAATAATTCCATCAATTTTTATTTTATGAAATATTCAGTAAGTGGGAAGAAATAAAAATGCTGAACTAATTTTCCTCTGTAAATATTTTGATAATGTTTCTGAATTCATATCTATTTATTTATTTTTTTTATTTATTTATTTTACTTCTCTTTGACATTACAAAATATAAACTGGAGACAAAAACCAGCAAATGTTGTAATTTACAGTATCCAACACAAAAGTGAAAAGGTCTGTGAATTGGGTCTGAAGATATTCAGGTATTGTCAAGTTCTGTGAAACTATTTTCCACACGATTCCACTTATATGATAAATGTATATTTAAATTTATGAGAATCCAAACTGAAGTAAATCTCTGATGGAAAACTTCCAAAACCTCAATCTAAATGAAAACTTCCACAGAAAATGTTCTTTTAGTTTGGTGTGATTAGAAAATAATTATGTTAATGAATGAGATTGTTGTAAGGAGTTTGAGATATATATATATATATATATATATATATATATATATATATATATACATACACACACACAACAAGTGTTGCTTACAATTTTACATAAGAAATGTCACAGATACAAGGATCCTTAGTTTTAAATTTACATTTTTCTTTCCAGGGCCAAAGTAAATAACATAGTTGTAGTGTTGTGTTACTGACTCACAGAAAGTAGTATGCACTCAACTGCCTCATGTGTGCAATTGCTGATAATTTTATAATGGACTCACAATCAGCAGTTGCCAAGAAGAGTTCAGTTATTTGGTTTTCTTTTTTATGGCTTATTAACCTTTTGTGGGTTATTTAATGCTAAAAAATATTCTACTTTATGAGTGAATATTTCATTTACAATTTTTTGAGAAAGTTTTTTTTTCAGATATTAGTTTTAATATTTAACCCATAGCTGGGAGGAGAATAGGGATTAATATTCTGTCTCTGCATGCAAACAGGTGGTTGACTCAATGCGTTTACGATGTGTATTCATGAGACAACTAGAAATTATATAAGAATCCCACTCAAGAGTAAAAAGGCAAAGTCTCTCATATCATTGCAAGAAGATCAGCGTTCAAAGAAAGTCCCCAAAGCCACACACCATCATGTTGATATTAACTCATGAAGTGCAAAATGAATAAACTATAATTATATTTATAAAAGATTTAGTTTCATATTCTAATTAGTCCTTACAGCAATAATATTTTACTTGTGATAGAGCATTGGCCATTTAATTGTGAGGTTCAATGTTCATTCCACCATACAGACACAGTAAATACCAGCAAGTCTTCAGAGAGAAGCAGAATTCACATTTCAAACAAAGAACCATATCTCAATTATAAAAATAAATTACCAATGGAAGAAAACACAATATAATAGAAAAGAAATTAAATTATATTTCCTTGTTTTACAATTGGCAATATTTTATCTGACAATACTGAACAAAACACAGAAAGAAATGCTTGCAACAAAACATTTTTAAATGATTGATGCATTCCTTTGACCTTTACTTTTATTATTTGAGTTTTTAATATTTATTTAAATTATTGTTTGTATTAACTTCATGACGCTTTCATTTTTATTATGCGACTCACAATGTATTTCTCATTATAAATAAACACTTGAATATATGCAAACTAGACTGAGATGATTGTTTTTTTTATAACATAATTCCAGTCAAGATATGTTCTATAATTTTGAGTAAGACTCATAATTACTCCAAGAGGTGTTGAAACTATTAGTTACCACTAAGGATGTGCAGATGGCATAATGGATGGCATCTTGCAATGAGAAATCAGAGAGCCAGGTTCTAATCTCAGTCAAGTTTTGTTACATTCACTTTCGCACAAATACCTGTGGAGAAGTGTTATATAGGATTGAAGTGTCACTGCTGATACTTGAGTTTGAACATAGATCACCAGTGAGCAAACACAGGGGATCCCATTATTGAATTAAGTTGATCATGTGACCATAGAGGAAATGCAGTTATTCCATTTCTACTTTATCCTCTATTCCTGAATGATCAACATTTCTAGTCTATTCTCTATTACTATACAGACCACTATGCTCTACTCTATTTACTATACTATTTCTCTATTCAGATCACTATATGGATTACTATTCAAGTGAGTATTATCAATCAAATACTATTAGTGTGAGTGCTATCGAAGACGTCTGACGCCAGAATTGTTCAACAACATACTATAGTTGTATCAGCGATTACAAAGTGTCCATGGCAACAAGCATTATGAAAGTGTCAACGGGTATTCATTGTCATGAGAAAAGTGGAAATGAGTGTTTGTTGACATCACAAAAGGAAGGTATGAATCCAATAGTAAGGCTCTTCAGCTTTACTGGTGAAGGACAACCCTGAAAATCAAAACCATCCAGAGGAACAGCATTCTATACAGCTAACAAAATGATCAGGAAGTTTGCATTGACTCTGTGATCCCTACTGCAGCCATTTAATAAATTATTTTTCAATTTTACCACAATGTATCCCACAGAATTCTTCAGACAATCTCTCTAATGAGAAAGAAACCTCCACCAATATCTCACTTTTTTTTTTTTTCTTTTTTTTTTTCTCCATAGTGCAAACCAGAAGATTTTTTACCAAAAAGACAAAATATGACACATTTTCTCCAGTGTACCATAATCTATATCCCAACCCAATAAATCACACAGTACAAGATCTGATCTTATCCGAAATTAGCACAATTATGTATCTGATATCATAATGTACCACTGACACAATCCATCTAAATGCAATAAGTGATTTCATTGAGCGGTTGATGCTCAGTGTCCAAGTGAGTAATTCACTTAACATCCGAAAGAAATATTGTCTCCGACAACAAAAGAAATAAACTGGTGTTTGGGCGGGGGGGTATCTAGATTCTTCATTTTTATTTATTTTGTTTTTTGATGAAATTATAGAAAACTTACCTTGTATTTCTGTTGTGCGGGTGATTATATAGACAACTATTGTCTGAATTGGACCACCCACAGTATGGATCATTGATACAAGCATCCACCTTTTTGTATTGATCACATGTCTCCACATTGACTTGCAGAACTTGAGTATCTGTGCCAAAATATAGACTGTTCTTCTGCAAAGGAGAAAAAAAAATTATGATTCCTGGTTATTACCCAGAAGATATATTAGCAATATAAATCTTTAAAAGCTAACTAGTTAACTACAACATACAGAGACAGATAGATCAAAAAGAATACACTGAGAAAGATAGAGAGGAACAGATGGATATAGACAGATATAGAAAAAGCAATGAATTGTTTGTGTGCGTATGTAGAAAGTGCTACCCATTGGTGGTGGGGGTTTCAAGGAAAATTACCAATCTGAGGTATATATGAAGAATGAAGAAAAATTCAGAGAATAGCATGAAAGACACAAAATAAATAAAAAATCTTGAAACTATAAAATCAGGCTTCAGAACACATGCTTATATATATATATATATATATATATATATATATATATATATATATATATAAAAAATATAGTTTTATGCTATATTTGTGGGTAAAAGTGCTTAATATTAGGGATAGAGCATGTGTAGATACAAGAAAGGACAAAATGGCCAACATTGAGTGGCGACAGTCTGTTTAATGCATGACTTCAAACTATATATATATGTGTGTGTGTGTATGGATAAAGATAAATACAAACTACTATATATATATATATATATATGTTTAAATGTGTCAGTATCTGCTAACTCACTCATGTCTTCTCTCTCCCCACTCACTTTGTTAATTTACATATGTTTAATACGGCCCGTCAAAAATGTGTAAATTTTCTTTTCATTTTTGTTTGAAAGTAAAGTCTGATGATCCGCAGTCCTTTAAAAGGGCTGTGGTGAAATAATTTATTACATGGAACCTTAAAGTGGTCTGTTTTTATTTAAATTATTTGCTCTGGATTTACATTGAGCTCTCTGGATTTTATCCTCCTTAGGTTTACCCATACGGATTACCTAGTCTTTCATTAACTAACTAACTAACTATATATATATATATATATATATATATATATATATACACACACACACACACGTGAAGAGTTTGGTAATAGCAACACACAGTACTCAACTGTAAATTGAAGTTGATTCTGGCACTCTTGATTGTTCATCTCCCTCCCCCCCCATATCGCCTGAGGGTAAGGGTCTTTGAGGGGAGATGAGTTCTTTGTGGCCTGGCTGATTGTATGGGAGTAGTCTGGACAATGCTTGGGAGATTTTTTTTGTGGTTGGGTGACGCTGGGTGGTGATGTCTCATTTTCTTTGGCATGTGGGACATGTGTATTGGGATCCTGGGTGTCCCTGATAGTTGGCTCATGGGGCTCAGGTAAAGCAGGGATGGGAGTAGGGATTGCAGGGGTTTGAAGCTTTCTGAGAAATCAATGGTTCTGCAAGGTAATCCTGCTTGATCCATCCTGATTCAGTATTGATGGTTAGGTAGTGTCTCAACAACTCTACCTGTTGTGTCCCACTGGTGATTGGTTGGATGCTGTATTGATACTATGTCCCCTTTTTGAAAAGGAAGCAGGGTATGGGCCATACGGTTGTACCTTTCTATTAGGAAGACATTACATTGAGATAGGGTTTTCTCACAATTTTGAGCTGCAGCTATCCATTTTACATGTGGCTTGTATAGCCTAAGTTGAGATGGTATAAAATCCCGTGGCCAGTGGTGTAGCAGAAGTTGTGCTGGGGATAGCCCAATGGTCTGGATGAGTGTGTTCCTGTACTGAACGATGGCCTGTGCTGCTCTGTTATTATCTAGGGATCCTTGAGTTCCTGTCTTAGTATGTACTATTCTTTTAGCAGATTTGACAGCTAGCTCTGTTCAGCCATTGGATTGAGGATAGGCAATGGATGATAGTCTGTGTTTCACTGCCCAGTCGTTCAGGAATTGTTGGAATGGTAGTGAATTGAAAGGTGGACCACCATCTGTGCCGAGTTCCTCTGGAGCACCATAGGTCTGGAATATATCTCGACAAATTGAAATTATTCTCAATGCATCTTTGTGTCCATGGCTTAAATGATAAAGGATGAGCCATTCAGTTGATCTATCAGTGCAGACACATACTGCTCATCTCTGATATGGAATAGCTCCATGACTATTTGCTGGAATGGCTAATCTGGTGGTCATGCGAGAGAGATTGGCTCTTGTGGTTGACTAGGAGCAATGTTTGAGCACACCACACAATTGGCCTTAACATTACGGATTGCAGCATTCATTCCGGGTCAGTAGATGGAATCATTAGCATGAGCTTTCATACCAACCACACCCTGGTGTGCTGAATGCAAGCTAAGCAATATTTTTTTTCGGTGAGAAGTTGGAATCATTATCCTTCTATCCAATAAGCCATTGTCAGTGCTTAGGTGATATCTTCTCCCAATATTCATGGAGTATAAGGGCAGTGAGATGGCACATTTTTGGGAATCTGTGCTGTACTGCATTTATCAGTTCTTTGTATTTGTGGATCATTGCATCCTGCTGCACAGGGAATCTGTGCTGTACTGCATTTATCAGTTCTTTGTATTTGTGGATCATTGCATCCTGCTGCACAGATAAGGCCTGGTGAGGTGACGGATATGTTGTCGTTGATTCCAAAGGTTGCTGTTAATGCACTTGATATCATGACATTGTCTATTTTATCAGACTCTAGAATGTCAGTTTGAGTGGGTTGGATAGGAAATATATTCAGGAAGGCATGTACCATTGTGACTGGATTGTGGGTAATGGCATCTGAGCTTCTGTGCCATTTCCCAGGGCAGTGCTGGATGTTACCCAGGCAAGTCTATTCAGTAGGTTCTGATTGGCTGATAATTCCAGTGTGGATATTGTCCTCAATAAATATCCAGCACAATATCCACCCTGTGACTTTATTCAACAGAGCGACATGTATTGAGTTACAACCCTGTTTATTTTTGTCAGCCAACTGGATGCCAGTTGGAAATGTCCTTGCGAAGATGAGTTCCTTACCTTCCTTGAGGACAGATAGGGATTCTCCCATCGCCTTGACTCACAACTCTCTCAGCATAGCCAGATCCATCATTTGCAAGTTCTCTTTTGTCAGCTTTTCACTTGCAAGTCGGCAGAGATTCCTGCTTCAATGAGGTAATTTTCCCAATCTTCAGGTTCCATTCCTGTTCACAGCACCATGTAGAGTTTGGTAATGGCAACAGACAGTACTCGGCTGTAATTGAAGAGTCTGACACTCTTGAATTGTTCAACATGCAGTTTGATCATGTGTGAGTATATACATGTTTAGATATATTTAGAATGTTTCTTTTATTTGCTGTTTTCTTTTGGGATGCAAGAGATCATGGTTCTTCACAACTTCCTATCTTTTATTGCTCTAAGTAACTCTTATGCACTACATGATATTTCCTCTTTCTCTTGCTTTCAATATCTACATGTACTTAGTTATATACATGTACAAATGTTATTTTACACACTGTGCATATATATATATATATATATATATATATATATATATATATATATATATACAGTGTAACCCGGATATAAGAGAGTTGTTGGGACCGGAGAAGAAGTCTCACTTATATCCGGGTTTGGTCTATTTTATATACAGTAACACAGGCTCTAATTTGGGACCAGAGACAATCTCTCTTATATCCGGGTTTGGTCTATTTTATATACATTAACACAGGCTCTAATTTGGGACAAGAGAAAATCTCTCTTATATCCGGGTTACACTATATATATATATATATATATATATATATATATAACATTATTTTTAGTGGATCCCTATATTTGAATTGATGTACCATTTACAGGTTTCCACTAAAGATAACATTTGAATAATAAAAATGTGGGATTAAAAATAAAACTACAAATTCTAATTCTCTCTCTCCCACCCTCCCTCATATATATATATATATATATATATATATATATATATATATATATATAAAACAAATAAATCCAAAATTACCTCACATGCCTATCTTGGCAGATGATGATATTGGTCATCCTTCTTATCAAAGGTGTGGAATGAGTTTATGTCTATAAACATGGAAAAGGCGGGAAGTAGAATTTAACTGTGAAAGTTATCAAATCAACCCAAATCAAACTTGCCAAAAATATCTCTTACATCCTTTTATCTATCTTTTATTTATTTTGGGACCCATTTTTTATTTCTCTTTTAATTCTAAATTGAAAAATCATTTTTTTTATATAACCCCAAATTGATATCATAAGGTTAATGTTCATGTTTATTTTAATAAAACTTCTTCCCTTTAAGACAGATACCTTCCACTTTGCCCTGACCCCTGTCTTGTGGCTTTTGTCTGACTGAAACATTGAAATGTGTAAACTCTGTATTAGATATTTTGGCAAGATGGTAACTGCTGGAAGACCCTACGTCTGGCAACAGGATTCTGAACCATGCCACACAATCAGGAAAACTCAGTTGTGTCTGTCAGACATTTTCTGTGACCACATCCCTACTTACATCTGGCCACCTAACTTCCCAGACTGCTACTCCCCTTGATTCTGTGTGTGGTGCAGTTGAGTGTGAGACCAGCAAAATTTCTTGTAACACCAAAGATGAACTGAAGGCAAGAATAAAGGCAGCATTCACCAACTTAAACAAGGAAGAGATCCAAGAGATTCCAAAATCTTCTGGAGGCCGTGGTTAAAGCCAATGGCAATTTTATTGAATAAATTTACTCTCTAGTATTTCAAGATAATTTTGTGTAATTTTGGTGAATATATCTGTTAAAATGAGAGGTCTGTTATTTCCATTTTGGCATAATTTAGACATTTTATCCATCGCAGCCTGTGTGTGTGTATATATATATATATATATAAAATATCTACATAAAGTTGTGAACATAGAGAAAGCAATATTTCAAATAAACCTTTGGTTGCAATATTGCAAAAAATAATATTTTTCCCTTTCCTTAAACCAATAAACAATAAAAACATATCCAGTTTTATCCTATGAAAGTCCAAACTTATCTAATAATTAGTAGGCAGTGAGACAAAAGTCTGCAACCCTGTTTTTTATCTGTCCTTTACTAGATACCATTAGCTTCTGTTTAGATACATCCAT